TAATGTGTTCTGATGTTTATAAACTTTCTCCTATAGAGACAATGCAAAGTTGGATAAACGGTGCCCCACAGGAGTTAATAAGTGTGCATTGCAACCTTGCTGAATTTATTCTGTCAAAGTCTGTCTCCATAAAGTACTTTAGAGGTGGTGTCTCTAAGAATCTAGGTTTGTTCTGCAGATCATCTTTAGAATTGCCCAAGTTATTTATTTGCTTCCTTAGACAGAAATGCTGAGCAACTGACTCTCAAAAACTGTCCTGGCAGAGTCCACACTTCAGGATAATGACATCTAGTTGGCTTGGATTGTTTGTTTGGGGTTTTTTGTTTTGTTTTCGTTGTCGTTGTTTGGTTTTGTTTACCTCCTGGACTATGAGTTAGCTTGTCAGGTGAAAAAAGACTGTTTGAAATCAAACAGTGGAGGCTTCAGTAGCATGTAATGTTCAGATATTCAGTCATTTAAAAAAAAAAAAAAAAGTCTACTTTTCCAAGAATGCAAATTTATTCTCTTGACATGAACAGATCTAATTAATATTCATGTTTTTCTCTCTCTCTTTTTTTTTTTTTTAGCATTCTTTCATGCTTTGTCACTTTTCTTTGCCTCTTTGTAGACCAGGATGCTTTCTCATACACTGCCTAGAAGTGGAAACCCTGGTTATATCACTGGAGCACCACTACTGATTGCAAATGGAAGTGCAGTGCAGCATGTATCCTTTGTGCTGTGGTGTTTTCTGTCATTGGGTTTCTTGACTTCTGTTACTATGTTGCTTGGACTTCTGAGATTGCACCTTTGCCTGTGAGGGCATACTTCAGTATAACTTTGCAGCCTGCAATAAGCTTTTTGGTCGGGGCTGAATTGTAGACCTGTGATAGTATAAAGGAGGAATGTGCTGTAAGAAGATTGTTAAATACAAATCGAGTGTCCTTTGTGATCTGCTTCTTGACGTGCAGATTGTTAGATGAGCATTCTGCAGAGTGAGGGTGATGGCAGTTGCTCGCAGTTTCTGAGACACACAGTACGATTTGGAAGCAATATGAGGACTGGCTGCAAACTCAGGTAAGAACGCGGTCTGTGGTCACCCTTTCACTCTTCCTGAAATGTCTAGGAGGCATGGAGTCACTTGGCACCTTTTTCTGTATTTTTCACTCACTTCCGTGGAGCCAAGGTTTTAAGACCAAGACCTCTTTAAGGTCACCCATGGTTCTAATACAGATCTTTCATATGAAACCTAAGAAAACTAGACTGTTGGAGGGATGGTGAAATTCTAGAACAGTTTGAACGTGAGAGATGATCTAGGAAATCTTCAGGCTTTGGTCTGGCAACATGTTGCAGAGAAGAGTAAAGTTATTTGAAAAGTGAATTATAATAGAACCTTAAAAAAGGATTATTCTAATTTGGTTTATTATTTCGTTGGTGAAAGGTCAGGAAGTAATGTCAGGAAAACATTTCAGGTGAAATGTCGAAGAATACCGACAGCTTTTTAGCCATCACTGAGGTGGTAAGATGGCTGAAAAGCTGTCAGTATTCTTCGTGTTATCCTGCCATGTTGTTCACCCTTTTCTTTGCAGAAACAATTGAAAGTTGACTCATCAGAAGAACAGAAGAAATGCTTGTTGCTGAGGAAGGCTGTTGATGCCATCTGCTTCTGTCTTGGAAAGCCCTTTAGATAAAGCTGTTACTGTTTTTTCCTCATTCTAGGCTAACTCAAGTGGAAAAAAGTAATTGCAGTTACATCCAGCTAAAGTTATATGAGGCTTTTCAGGGGATGAACCAAGCAGAGGACCTTGCTATAATTGGTAGTGCTCGTTCAAGCCAAGAAGAAGAGTGGGTGACCATTCTGATCCAGAACTGCAGTGTACAGGTAATATAAATGCAAGAAGACAATCTGAATATCTTTTTCATATCTTTGTTTTAGTTTGAGAGGTGTGAGTAATGTAAAAAAAAAAAAAAATAATGAACCAGCTTGTTCATCAAGGCTAGTTTTATTTGTGCGGTAATCCACTGGCTTTCAGGAGTCTTAATACTCATAAATGCTTATATTTATTAGTGTTCATATCGTTAGGATATTTACTAAACAACAAAAAACTGATAGATTTAATCTCTCTTGATTCCTTGTAATGGTATTTAAATAGCCAAGAAGAGTTTAATGCTTTATCTGGTGTTGTACTGGTTAATTCTCTGACTGTGTTCTAAGGTTAATACAAGCTGTTTATTCCAGTGATGATTCCTTTACATTCCAAAAATGATGCTTCCGTTACCATCTTTTCTGATTTTTTTTTTTATGTTTCTAGTGATATATAAATATTGCCAAACTAAAGCTAAGAGCTTGCAATCCGAGTGCTTGTTGGGGAGGCAAATTTTGTTTTAATAATTATTCATCTATTAGAAGGTGTCCTCATAGAAGGCAAAATCCAGGTGATAGAGGTGAGAGAAATTCTGTCTGGAAATTAGATGACAGTGAGATGGATACAGCTCTAAAACAGGCAGCTGACCTGACAAGAAGTTATGGGGTTAGTCCTGAAGTGATTGAGATTCTGAGACTTTTGCTACCTGAAGTATTGAGTTTTGATCATAATGGTCCTTTTTAACATTTAAATTACTGTATTAAGATGTTTGGGTTACATTTTATTTTCAGACTGAGAATTGCAGTTCCTGTTGCATGATTCCTGTGACTCTGGATATACAGATATTGTGGACTAAGATGGGTCTCCTGTCCAACCCACAAGCTCAAATATTGGGTGTACGGTACTTTTATCAGTGTCGATCCCTAAAGGTATGGGATTTCAAGTATTTCAAATCCTTCTCTCATATAGCACTATGAAATGGATTCACAGATTATTTAAGAACTAAGGTATCAAGTGGTCTTGATTTTGAGGAGTTGATCTACCAAGTTTTAGAAGTGGTTTGGCTAAAGTGGCAAGAGTTTGATTTAACTGATCTGTAGAGGAAGCTGGTTTTATGGCTTTGCTGATTAATGTTCAGTCAGTTGTACAGGTAGAAGAGGTACTTTCTTTTCAATTACAAACCACTTCAAATTAAGGAGTCAAAACCTTAAATTAAGTTCAGTGTAAAGTAAGAGTTATAAAAGTTCAGTAGCTGTGTATGTCTTGTCCCTTAAAACCTTGTGGAGCACACAAGCTGTTTCAAGAGTCCATTACAGAGCTTAGCTTGGAGATGCATCTTTTGCATTAGGCATGCTGAATTCTTTCTACTTTACATTTTGTTACAGTCCCTAAGCACAAGCTTGGTGCCTTTGACAACTGTTGTTACCTTCACTGAAATGACGGAATGGCCAGAACCTCCACGTGGCCTGCCCAAAGTACACTGGAAACTCCCATTTGACTTTTTTTTTCCATTCAAGATGGTGCTGAATATTGAAAGAAGTTACAGAGATGATTTGACTGCCTACTTTGTTGTGATTCTAATATTGTCTAGTATTCTCTGCTGTTGAAGAGAGTAAAATAGATGAAACCTGTATAAATTCACTTACTGAACTTTAAGTGCATTTGTGGTGTGATCCAGATCGTAAACTGTTCATCAGATTCTTATACTGTCCATCCTATCTTATGTGCTTTCTGTTGATGGATTAATGTACTTGATTAGTTTCTGTCCCATGTCTTCTCATTCTCCTGTTCTCCATATACACAATCTTTAAACCTCTTTGAAGTGAAATTCTTAAAGGAAGGGGTAATTGAGAGATGTTGCAAGAATGAGGAGCAGGAAGGAGGAAGTTAAAATGAACTTGTTTCCAGAAACCGAGTGCTTTCAGGGAATGTAGAGAGAGGACTGGAGTTAAGACTTATATGTTGGATCATAGACTGGTTTGGATTGGAAGGGACCCTAAAGAACTAGATCTTGCTGTAAGCAGGAACACCTCCTTCTAGACCAAGTTGCTCACAGCCCCACCCAGCCTGGACCTGAATGCTCTTAGGGAGGGAGCATCCACAGTCTCCTTGGTCAATCCGTTCCAGTGTCTCACCACCTTCACAATACTGAATTTCTTCCTGATATCTAGTCTAAATCGACCCTCTTCCAGTTGAAAGCCACTTCCCCTTGTCCTGTTGCTGTATGCTCCTACACTAAATCCCTCCCTAGCTTTTCCGTAGGCACCTTTTGGGCCGCTGGAAGGTCTCCCTGCTGCCTTCTCTTGTGCAGCCTGAAGAGCCCCATGTCTCTCAGCCCGGCCTTGCAGGCAGGTGCTGCAGCCCTCGGATCATCTTCGTGGTCCTCCTCTGGACCCGCTCCAGCAGCTCCAGTCCTCCTTGTGTTGGGGGCCCAGAACTGGACGCAGTGCTCCAGGTGGGGTCTCCCGAGAGCAGAGCAGAGGGGCAGAATCTCCTCCCTCGCCCTGCTGGTCGCCCTTGTCTTGATGCAGCCCGGGATGCAGTTGGCCTTCACGAGCCAGCGGTGTGCGCTCACACCCAGTTGAATATTTCATCGAGTTTTACTCGGAGTCAGATGGAATTGGAGGCGGTCCGTTCCACCGGGAGGAGCCGCGAGCATCCCGGGCGCTGGGTCAGGCGCCGTGCGACCGCCGCGAGCCGCCGGGCTCTGCGGAAGTGAAGCCGCCGCCTTCCTGCCGCCGTCTCCCTCCTCGGGCTCGACTGCTGTCGGGCCGCCGGGGTCGCTCCCGTTTGTACCCGAACGCTCCTTCCGCCGCGGGCTCGACTCGCGGAGCGCTCGCCTGCCTGACCGCCTGTTCTACCGGAGAGTCGCTGGCGGGAGTCCGGCCGTGTGGGCGCGGAGGGGCGGGCCTGGACAGGCCTGGAGCCTGCGTGCGCCGCGCTGCCGGAGCTCTGCGGCGGACGCAGGGGGCCGCGAGCGGGTCGGGAAGCCGCGGCCGTGAGCCGCGTCTGGGTGCCGGCGCCGCGGAAGCTGGCCGGGCTGCGGAGGGAGGCGGCGGGCGCGGGGGGGTTTGGGTCGTTGCCGCGTGTCGCCGAGCGCGCGGTGCCGCCGGCGCTGCGTTGCGCTGATCGCCGGTGGTCTTCGTCCGGTTCCCCTCCTGTGGTTCGGTCGGGCCCGAAGGAAGTCTCCTTGAAAACGAGCGAGTCGAGCCTTGCGAAGATACAGGTACCGCCCCGTGCTGCGGGCATCTGGGCGCTCATCCTAACGGCCCTGCAAAGTTGTCTTGAGGCGCGTAGACTTTATTTTGGGCTGTTTTGGTGGCCGCAGAGCATTACTGTTATATAGAGCCAACGACAGAGTGGAACTGCTCCTGGGGCCTTTGTGAGCAGTAAATGGAGAACTACATTGGCTTCGTTCATTGGGAGTTTTGGAGAAACGGAGCCGCTGCACATCTTTGTCCTGCCTGTTTCTTTGTATGTTGCTTGGCCCTATCATGAAGATTTCTCTGAGCCCAAAGAAAAGACGTAAACCCTCCTGACACGCAGATATCCAGGCTTTGGCTTTACTCCTGGTAATAAGCCTGTGTCTGTTGTATGCTATTTCATCACTCAAGATACAACAGGGTCTGGGTGGTTTTTGTTTGTTTGTTTTGTATGAGAAGAAATCTAATAGCTCTCTAAAAGGAGTGATAGGGTTATAGGTAAAGAAATCTTGATGTCCAAAACTTACACAGATTTCTTACACAGGAGGCAGTAGGGGTGGCAAAGCTGATGCTTCTGGTGCTAGTGCTGTCTACGTGCCGTTTGAGCTCTGCAGCCTCAGGGAGGAACAAGAAGGTGTGTGCACTGGAAGTCTGCAGTGTTACAGATGCTGTGGAGAAGGTGAATGCTATCATAGTCATGTAAAGCTGGAGACCAGAGGAGTGGTTACGTTTTGTTTTCTTATCGTAGCTGTGTACTGTATTTGGGAGTTGGACACAAACTGCTGTCTTACTGATTTTTGGTTTTTTTTTTTTTAATTTCTGTATTAGGATTAGGTATCAGCGTACCTTTGATAGAAAAGGAATGCCTTAATCTCCGCAGCAGCAAAGGAAGAGAAAAACACATCGTTCTGAGGACAGAACAAAAAAGGAGAGGTAGGTAAGGGTAAATGTCTTAAAAACAGGGAACTAAAATGGAATATAGAGCTGAATACTTCATGGAGTCGAGAGGATAAAAATACTATTTCGAGTGGTGCTCTTCCTAGAGAAATGATAGGGCATGAACAAATCTTACTGTTGGTGAATTTCCCCTGTCTTTCTTTGCAAGAGGCTGCAGCCAGCTGGCTTACAGATTACTATAAGACAGTAGAAGAGATTCATTCCACAATGGGGGCTTGGATATGGAGGGTTTGAAAAAGTCTGGAACGGTGAAAAAGTGCATTTAAAGCTTCAGTAAGACATACTGGAGGAGCTGTAAGAGGCCTGAAGTGCATGGTACTAAATGTAAATGTTTATCTTTCTCCTGAAATATTGAACAAAACTACTGATTTCAGTTTGCATTTTTCAAGCTTTTCTTTCTATCCTTACATTTCTTTAGCTTCATTTACTCCTGAACACGAGCATGTGTCCAGGTACTCAATTTGCATCTTATCTCTTAGTGACATCAGTGTTACTGTTTTAGCCATAGCTATTATAAAAATTTTATTCAGTCTCTGTTTTTTTCCCCTGAGTGACTTGTAATGCTCGTACACCTTGATTTGATTGTCATAGGAAAACTGATACAAAACAGATATTTTCTATCATCTTTTTATCTTTAATAGCCGATGGAGTTTTACTGCTTGGTAAAGGTTTTAGAGGAAATCGTTTGATTCAGATTTGATCCAGGCCAGAAAAGAGCGATGATTTCTGGAAGAAGGAAATGCTGGAAAGATGCCAACTCAACCACTGATGATTGTGCTTAAGCTGTTTTCTCACGTTGCTTGCTTAGCAATCTTGTTCATAGAATTATAGAATTGCTTAGGTTGGGGGGGACCTTAAAGATCCTCTAGTTCCAATCCACCATCCATGGCAGGTTTGCCAGCCAGTAGATCAGGCTGCCCAGACTTCCATGCAACCTGGGGAACCACAGGCTGGTGAGTCTCACCTCTGTACTTGGGAAGATCATGGAACAGATCTTCCTGGACGACATGCTTGATTGCGTGAGGAATGAGTGTGTGATCCGAGACAGCCAGCACAGCTTTACCAGGGAAAACCTAACCTATCTGGTGGGCTTCTATGATGGAGTGACGGCATTGGTGGACAAAGGGAAGGTGACCGATGTTACCTGGACTTGAGCAAGGCCTTTGACACTGTCCCCCACCACATTCTTATTTCAGAACTGAAGGGATGTGGATTTGAGGGGACTATTTGCTAGGTAAGGAATTGATTAGAAGGCCTTACGTAGAGGCTCGTGTTGAATGGCATTATGTCCAGATGGAGGCCAGTGACAAGCAGTGTCCACCAGGGGTCTGTCTTGGGACCAGTGCTCTTTAACATCTTTATCAATTACATGGCTGACAGAATCAAGTGCAACCTCAGCAAGTTTGCTGATGACACCCAGCTGAGTGTTGTGGTGTGGTTGACACAGTGGAAGGAAGGGATGCCATTCGGAGGGACCTCAGCAGACTTGAGAGATGGGCCCAGGTGAATCTAATGAGGTTCAACACAGCAAAGGGCAAGGTTTTGCACTTGGGCTGGAGGAATCCCAAGCATTTATACAAACTGGAAGGAGCAGTCCTTGAGAGTAACCCTGCAGAGAAGGACTTGGGGGCCCTGATGGATGAAAAACTTAGCATGAGCCAGCAGTGTGCTCTTGCAGCTTGGAAAGCAAATGGGATCCTGGGCTCCATCAGAAGACGGGTGGCCAGCAGGGACAGGAAGGTGATTGTCCCCCTCTACTCTGTCCTCGTGAGGTCCCATCTGCAGTACTGTGTCCAGGTCTGGAGCCCCCAGTACAAGAAAGACAGAGAGCTGTTGGAGAGGGTCCAGAGGAGCCATAAAGATGATCAGGGGACTGGAGCACCTCCCCTACAAAGGCAGGTTGAGGGAGCTGGGCTTGTTCAGCCTGGAGAAGAGAAGGCTGCGGGGTGACCTCATTGCAGCCTGCAGTACCTAAAGGGAGCCTGCAAACAGGAGGGGAAACAACTCCTGGAAAGGGCAGGACAAGGGGAAATGGTTTGGAGTTGAGGGAGGGCAGACTGAGATTGGATGTCAGAGGGAAGTTCTTTGCTATGAGTTCTTTGCTACTTTGGGCACAACAACCCCATGCAGCGCTACAGGCTTGGGGATGAGTAGCTGGATGACTGTGAAGAGGAAAGGGAGCTGGGGGTGTTGGTTGATGCTCGGCTGAACGTGAGCCAGCAGTGTGCCCAGGTGGCCAAGAGGGCCAACGGCATCCTGGCCTGCATTAGAAATAGTGTGGCCAGCAGGAGCAGGAAGGTAATTGTCCCCTTGTATTCAGCACTGGTGAGGCTGCACCTCGAGTATTGTGTTCAGTTTTGGGCCCCTCACTACAAGAAAGACATTGAGGCCCTGGAACGTGTCCAGAGAAGGGCAACGAAACTGGTGAGGGGTCTGGAGCACAAACCTTGTGAGGAGTGGCTGAGGGAGCTGGGATTGTTCAGTGTGGAGAAGAGGAGGCTCAGGGGAGACCTCACTGCACTGTACAACTTCCTGAGGGGAGGCTGTGATGTAAAATGGTCTGGTGTGGTTCTTGTGCTTATTTCTTGAAGATGGAATTCTTGAGATTTATCAGGGTATTCACTACCTTTAACTGTCTGAAACCACAGTTTTTGCACTGCTGATGTCTTAGCATGCTTGCTGTACACTAAGGTAAACTACTATTCTTCAAGCTAGAAATGTTGGCTCCTTGATGCTAACAAGCATCCTTGTGGAAGAGCTAAAAGTTTTATGTGGGAAACAAAAGTGCTGATTCAGCTCCTTGTTTCTCTTAATAATTTCTTTCTTATTTCAGCATCTGATGAACCAAACCATCTCCTCATAGCTGCAGTGGTTGAGGGGAACCTGTAGCTTTCTTTTTGCAAGCGTAGATCAGAGGAGTTACGTGTTCTAAGAACTGTCTAGCTCAATCTAAAATAGGGCTTGTTTTTTGTTACATGTTTAAAAATCAAAAGGAAGAGTTAGCAGCTCTTCTTGCTTGTGTGTTAAGCTACATTGGCTTCTTTAATCACTGTTGTTAGTAATAATCCTAATAAATGGAGTGAAGAGGAGGGGATGCAGAGCGTATGTGCTGTACTGGAAACAAATGCTACCTCTGGCAAAGTGGAAGTCTTCAGCTAGTCTTCTACCAAAGTGGTGTCTTTATATCTGCTTTTTGGGGGGATGGAAGCATCAGTTTGTTTTCCCTTTTGTGGGGACAACAAAATCTTTGATAGATAACTGTAGGCTGGGTCTTCTGTAACTTATTGGGATGTGGAGGGTTTTTTAAGTCTGTCCACCCCTTGAATATTGTTTACCCTTTGTGAGGTTTCCTCCGTGGATTTGAAACTTCAGATGAGATTGTTTCCTGATCTTAGGTAGTGAGGCATCTACCATTTAAACACATGAAACTGAACAACCCCCTCCCGCCAACTGGTGTCCTTTAGCAACATGAGAATAAGTGCTGGTGGAATTTGTTTACTGCAGTACAAAGATGAGAATACAGTAGTAAAATAACTATAGAGGGGAAACACTATAGCCAGCATCTGAGTTTAAGTGGGGAACTATGGTTAATTTTATAATGTGTGCAAAGATGAAAAGCTGTAGTGTTGTTATGGTTTTTACTGAATTCAGCAATGAGTGCTTTGTCTTTAATTCAGAAATGACTGCGAGTGGTGTATATGGCTGGCAAGTGAGCAGCTAAGCCAGCAGCACTCCTGCCCTAGCAGAAAGGTTTGGGATGCAGTGGAGAGAATGAAGGAGACAGAATGCTTAGGGAGATGAAACCACTCTCAGAAGCTGGGCTACGAAGATCCTTTAGTCTCCTGTCTGCATCGTAGAATTGCTCAGACAGCAGACGTCTGAGAACGGGGAGAATCCAGGTCAGGGAAAGCTGGTGGAGAGATGGCCAGGCAGCCTGTACTGTGGGTAGGGCTGTCTGGACTAGTCTGGGACTAGACAGAAAACAGTCATTAATGCTGGATTTTGTGCTGCAACGTGGAGTAGAATTACATCATCTGCTGGGACAGCAGGCTGGGAAGGTGTGTGCGTGTCCGGGAGGGATGGAGTCTGCTGAAGGCGCTGAAGTTGCATCAGCCAGTGGTTGCTCTGTTCTTGCGGTGCTGATGTGGCTTGTGCTGTCAGGGCGTCGGGGATTGGCTGCTGCAGGTCAGCTGGGTCTGCCTCCGCGGCCCTTGCAGGAGCCGTCTCTGCCTCCCGGTTTACCTGCAAGTCGCTGCTTCTCGTAGAAATCTTTGTTACAGTTTCAGCCGGAGGGATCAGGTATGGAAATTCAGGTGGATCTAAGCACTCTGACAAGAAACAACACGTGTAGATATCACTGGTGACTCTGCACAAGTGATTTGCCTGCTGTAGTATTTTGCTAACCTGGAATACTGTCTGTGCATGAGTTCTGCTTTTTCATAGCGTGCGATGCTCGGCTCCTTACCGTGCCCTTTTCAAGGAGGCTCCTGTGCCTTGCTGCACAAACCTGCTTGTGCTGCTTAACTGATTTATATACAAGATAAAAGGGATCAATACTGAAATTGTGCAGATGTTATCTTTGGAGTACTTAAGATTGGAAATATTTGAACAGGTTTTGCAGATCAAGTGATAGGCTTCTATTCAGTCGTGCACTGCAGTACTTTATAGCTGTACTGTATATGCATTATATATATATTATATATAATATATATATTATAGCTGTATAAAGTACTTTATAGTACTTTATAGCTCCTTTTATAGGAGATGGGTTCTTTTTTGGGAAAAAAATATATCTGTTTCATAGGTTGTTGTGAAAGACACCAGTTTAAGGATTTGAGTCCTCCATTCCACTTCAGTTACGTGGGAAGTTGGCTTAGTTGTTGACATTGATCTGAAACACATTTTAACATAGTGGGCTACTTAACAGGTCTTTTGAAAACAGGAACTTCATGAAAACTAGCTAACAGCAATGCTTTCTGTGAGATAGCATAAGGATAACTTTTCTTTGCTTAAAGTTACGATGGAAGAATGGCATTTTTAAAAGACTTTTGGAGACTAGTTTGCAGGAAGTAGGTTCTCTTAGTAATGGCAACAAGATTTTAGGTCGGTGCTAGAGTCTTGTACCTAAATAATGCATATTGCACTTATTTTTATTGATGTCAGTCTGTCGTCTCCCCCCTCCCCCTAATAAGGCAGAAGTTTGATTTTGTTTTATTTATTTATTTATTTATTTATTTCTCCCCTAATGTCTTTTTTGGTTTGTTACTGCAGAGTAGAACCCTTACAAGTATGAAAATTCTGGAAATAATGGTGGGATGGAAAGTAAATTCTAAATTCCTGATTCAGCGAGAGGAGAGAGAATTGTTCTGCAGCATTAGGGAACTGGGGGGGTTCAGTCTGGAAAAGAGGAGGTTCAAGGGAGACTTTATCACTTTCCAAAGCTACCTGAAAAGAAGTTTGTAGTAACAAATGATAGAAAGTGAGGAAACAGCCTCAGGTTGTGCCGTGGGAGGTTTAGAGTGAGTACCTGGAAGAATTTTTTGACAGAAAGAATGGTCAGGCATTGGAACTGCTTGCCCAGGGAAGTGGAGGAATCACCATTCCTGGAGGTATTTTAAGGACTGTGTGGATGTGGTGCGTGGGGACGTGGCTCAATGGTGGACTTGGTAGTATTAGATGATGGTTGGCTTGAGGATCTTAAGGGTCATTTCCAATCTAAATGATTCTATGATTTACAGAGCGCCCTGTGGTCTAGCTGTAGTTTCTGGCAGCAGCATCATTCTTATGTCACACACCTTCTTTTTTTTTTTATTATTTTTTTTTTTATAAAATTGATATTTTATTTTTTTATGTTCTGTCCTTTGCCAGCCTATTGGACTGCAAGCATCCGCTAGAGATAAAACAAGGAGCATGCAGGGAAGATGATGTCTGGTACTGGGTGGCAGGGTGAACTTTGAGGTGGGAGAATCAAATGGTGAGACACACAGATGATGGGAATTTTATCTCCCAAAGGCATACGCCTGAAACACACCTAAGTGACAGAGGGCATCTGAAGTCTTCAGGTACTAAGTGTCTGGCTGGTAGCCTTCTCTAGTTACTTTAAATGTCTTTATGCGAAGCAAACTTTGACTACTTGTTCAACTCAATCCAGTCCTGAGTCCTTTTTCTGCCTCATGCTTGTGATGATCAGAGCTGCTTTTTCAGATGAAATACAGAACTGGAGGGGCATGATGGATTAATAGACTAATAGATGGTTTAAATGCCATGCTTTGTGATCTTTATCAGCAAAAATAGGAGAATCATTATCTGCAGGTGGGTTATTTGTTCTGTGCAGAGGTATATAACTTGGTAAGGATTGTAATGAACATAATAGCGATATACTGATCGAGGGTAATTAAGCAACTTGAGATATTTATAGTGTTAATATACGCATTGGCCAGAACTGCCAGGCATTGTATCTGTCAAGATACATGTAAGAGTTCCGATGTGGTTACTATGAGCTCTCGTTTTCTTCTGTTCAAGGCTCTCACTGCAGCTTTTGTAATGTTATTTGATTGAAAGCAAGTGGAGGAAGCAAAATTTTCTAGAAGGGAAATGAGAGGTCTCATTGTGTAAGCACTACCCAGGAGAACTGGATTTGTATTCATCGCTTTTCTTTCCTTTGTAGTACTGTAGCTGCATTACTTCAAGTACACTGGTTATAGGAAATTGCCAATTCCATATCCCTCATTTGCTGGGTAGTTGCTCCAGTGGCTTTAGGGTTACAAGAGCTTTGAGTGCTTAAAAGTTCAGTCAAGGGAAACTGATGTCCTTACTCATAATCAGTGTTAATATCTTGCTGTTTGGAAGCTCTCAGAAATGTAGTGTGAATTTTGGGCAGTTCTGTGTGGAGCTGGGAGTTGGGCTCGATGTTCCTTGTGGATCCCGTCCAACTTGAGCTATTCTGTAGTTCTGTAGTTCTACATAGGTCATTCGGGAAGTAATACCTCTATCATGGTTTTATGTTTTTTGTTTTTTGTTTTTTTGGTTTTCAGTATTCCGCATCAAAACATCATGTAGTGTACTGGGAATTAAAGTGTTAATGCTCCAATTCCAGGTACCTATCCCCGTACATTACAGAAGTCATGGGATCTGGCCCTTCCGGGTGGGGCGGTCACTTTCTGCCTGGCAGTGGGTGCTGGAGGTGCTTTCCTAGCCGTTCCAAGCTTTTCAGGTTTGACTTGGTCTCGGGAACTCTCTCTCCTATCTTATTTGATTTATTAGTATCAATTTCAATTAGATCGTATTATATTGTGTTATCTTGCATTCTGGTACCATAGTTAGTAAAATAAGTTTTCCTCCGTAGATTGTTGCTGCTGGTTTTTTCCTCCCTTCATTAGGGAGAGCTTCGTTAGGGAGCATTATCAGTAGTTCAGGTTTCTGTGCTGGAAAACTTGACCTTGAAAGACAAGACATACTGCCAGCATTCTGGGATATTTGTAAACTTTGAGCACTGCTTAGTCTGGGTAGTGCCTTTTTCCTTTTTTTTCCCTCGTCTTGTTAGCTTCAGTTCATTAACCCTTTTTTAGCAGGCACCAGTGATGAACCCACTCTTTATCGTGTGGGCGCTGTGTAAAGGATTAAAAGCCATGATGTTACTCGCAACTTACTGGCCAATTATCAACGTCATAATTACTTGTTGTGGAATTGTGTTCATATATAACCAACTAAGGGCACTGATGGAGACACCTGCATGGTACCTATATGCAATGTGGTATGGTTTGAATTTTGACATTACATCCCAGGGGTCTCTCCTATCTTATTTGATTTATTAGTCTCAATTTCAATTAGATTGTATTATATTGTTATCTTGCGTTCTGGTATCATAGTTAGTAAAATGAGTTTTCCTCCATAGATTGTTGCCACTGTTTTTGTCCGTCCTTCCGTCCTTCCGTCCTTCCGTCCTTCCGTCCTTCCGTCCTTCCGTCCTTCCGTCCTTCCGTCCTTCCGTCCTTCCGTCCTTCCGTCCTTCCCATTTTGTGGGGCTGGGGTGGGAAGGAGGGCAGGCACCTACTGCCCCCCCTGTCACGGGCGTAGATTGATCTAGGTAACTCTGTGACAGATTTTTGGTGAAGAATGCGGGCATAGCTGGTTTTTAGCTTTTAGAACAAATCTCTCTCTGCTCTTAGAGAGCTTTGTCAGGGAGCACTATCAGTAGTTCTGGTTTCTGTGTTGGAAAACTTGACCTTGAAAGACTAGGCGTACAGGGGAACTGCACAGGGAAATTGCATTAACTCCGTGACAGTCTCCTATTTATTTCCATGGAAATTCCAACAGATATGAAGAACGCATAATCACTGTCCAATAGTGTTTTGTAGCTGAGAATTTGCTCTATTTTTCATAGTAGTCACTACCACTAGCTATGCATTTTCACCAGCAGTGAACAAAAGCCTGCATGCTGCGCTGATAAAAATCTATACCTGTGGAGGTAACCACTGTTTCGTTGCAGTAGTGATGGCATCATTGCTGAAACACAGTGGATGTCAGGGGGTGCGATTTTTTCTGCATGGAGGGATGCAATGGCACATTTTGCTTCGTAATCAGTTCTGTGTCGGATGCTGTTTTGTCAGAATGCCCATCTGCTGCATAGCAAAAATGTAATGGGATATTGGTGTGAAGGTTCAGCCTGTACTACCATCTGCCTCTGACATTGTGGGCCAGCGGAATAAAACAGGAGGCGTTACTCTCGAAGCAGACCTCATACATTGGGCTGTGGTTCATAGATAAGTATAGTTGATGTTTTGTTGTAGTTTGTACATTAATCCAACCTGCTTTCAGGTTTTTTCCTCCAAGCTTCTCCATGGATGGAGTTGCAACTTTTCTCTATTGTAGGTACATTCACTAAGAGTCTTTCACATTTTTGGCTATTCCAGGGAACTCTGTTTTGTTCTTCATCTTTAATAATAATCTTCTGCCAGCAGGTAAGGAAGAGGAGCCTTCGGTATCCTAAGTTGTGGTATGAGTGTGAGGAGAGTAGGCTGTTTCTTGCACAGGGAAATTGCATTAAGAGTGTACAGGAAAAAGAAGAGCTCTGTCTGATTGGGTGGGTTGGGGGAGGAAAGAAACAGATGGAAATCCACTGATATTTAACCAGTTTCCCCACACCCTTCCTTTTAACTTGCAGATATCCTTGACTTGCAGAAGGCATCTCAAAATGTTGTGTCAAGCCGCTCTGAGCCCTCTTGTCCGTTCCCCTGGATGGTGCTTTGTGTTACCGCCACATGCCATCGCAGCCATGTCCCGTTTCTGTATGTATGAGAGAAAGCACACGTTTCTAGTAGTGTTAATCAATATGTGTCCAGGTGCCTATGCTTTTTTCTTAAAAGGAAAATCCCCTCAATAACATCATTCAAAACTTATGAACTCTGGACTGAGCTGCAATTGAAGCTGTACTTTTGCTGTTACTTTCTTCCTTAATCTTCTGTGCTGATAATGGGCTGGTTTGCCTTAGGATCCTTTGTAAGCTTTTGATAAACAAAGATTTTGCTAAGGAATATTCCCTTGTTCATTGCTTTAAATGAGATGCGAGCCTTGTGTGTGTTCTATCTTACCTGAATATAATGCTGTGACTGTCTCTGCTCCTTGCAATGCCTGTTTGTATTGTAGGTAGGTGGCTTGCAGTTCACATGTTCATCATGCCTCTTCTGTTGTCCCCAGCTTAGCAACATGAGAAAGTATCTGACCTACAGGCTTCATAAAAGCTGTGTTTTCTTTTCTAGCAGTCAAGCTTTCTGCTGTGCTATAGACAGGAAAACTCTTTAGCTGTATCTCATGAGTCAAGGCAAAGGAGAGTGTTTTTAAAGCTAGCATTTGTATTTCCATTGTGAGTTGGATGGGCTACTTAAGTGTCATTCAGTCTTTTTTTTTTAATTTATTCCCAGAGTCAATGCTGTAACACATCAGGTATTGCTTTATATACCGCAGAGATGGTTACTGCTGCTAAAGAATATTCACTTGCACTTTATTTCAGTGTCTTCAAAGCTGGCTTCTTATTCCCTGTCACTGAGAGGTGTGTGTTGTGAGCCTTGGAAAGGGAGAAATGTTACATGACTTAAGGAACTTGGAAGACCGAATTAAACACTTAAAACTGTTTTGTTTTTTTTTCCTCTTTCTTTAACCACAGATCTCCCCCACAATACCCAGAGTTTAAGGAATGAATCCATCCGTCGTTGGAGCAACATCCCATTTATCACCGTGCCACTTAGCCGTGCACATGGCAAGTCATTTGCACACCGCAGTGAGCTGAAGCACGCAAAGCGGATCGTCGTGAAGCTGGGCAGCGCTGTTGTGACAAGAGGGGATGAGTGTGGCTTAGCTCTTGGGAGGCTGGCATCTATTGTGGAGCAGGTAATTTTGTAACTGAAGTAGAATGGTTGTTCTAACTTCAGATATTTAGTCATTGCTGGATGGCATAGAAAAATGCAGGAAGAGTAGCAGAGGCTAGGGATTGCAGTGGCAGAGGCTAGGGGATTGCAGTGGCGGAGGCTAGGGATTGCATGCAGTCTTTTACATAGCTCCCAAGTGGTTAGGAAAGTGAACATCTTTGAGTATGGCTGCCTTGCTTTGGACATCTATTGATAAGCAGAACACTTATGTCAGCAAGAATTATTGAGCGTAAGATAGCTGTAATGCCCTGAACTGTCAGGCTAGCCATGATTTTACTGTATCCCAGTTCTTGTTCTCTGTACTTACAGGTGTCAGTGCTGCAGAATCAAGGCCGAGAGATGATGATTGTCACCAGTGGTGCTGTAGCTTTTGGAAAGCAGCGACTGCGTCATGAGATCTTGCTTTCTCAGAGTGTGAGGCAAGCACTTCATTCAGGCCAAAGTCAGCTAAAAGATATGGTGAGTGATTGGCAACAGTCGCACTTTTCTTTGAATGTTGGTTAGAACCTACTTAAGTCACTGCATGACAGCTGTTCTTTGTTTCTGTAGGCAATTCCAGTCCTGGAAGCCCGAGCCTGTGCAGCAGCTGGCCAGAGTGGACTGATGGCCCTGTATGAAGCCATGTTTACACAGTACAGCATCTGTGCAGCTCAAGTAAGGGATGCATTCTCTCCTAGGCTTACTTGCTACTTCACTCAGTGATGGAGTTGTTCTTGGCAGTTGTTGGTCGTAGTCAGCATGTGTTTTGTGAGGCCAAAGTTATGTTTGTCTAATGTGATTTTCTTTTATTGACGAGGTTACTTGGTTGACCAAGTGAAGCCAGTTTTGGATTTCAGCAAAGGTTTTGATATTTTTCTCAAAGTATCTTTCTGGACAAAATGTCTAACATGCTGTAAGCAAATATGTAATACATATACAATGAGTTAAATTGACTCACGTGCAGGATTTAAAGAATTATAGTAAATGGAATTACATCAGACTGGTGGCCAGTCTCCTGTGATGTTCCACAGGGCTTCATTTCCAGGCCAATTCTCTTCAGTGCTGCTGGGAATGGCCTGGATGCAGGACTTAGTGTCATCTGCAAATTTTCTTCATATGCATTTGAGTTAGGAAGGGATAGAGAGGCCTTGCAGAGAAATATTAACAAAGTAGAGGTCTGGGCCATCACCATCTTCATGAAATCTAACACGAGCTAAGGTTAAATTCTGCACCTGGGACCGGGTCTCCACCGTTAGCTATGCATTTTCACCAGCAGTGATCAAGAACCCATGTGCTGTGCATGTAAATATTTGCACCAGTGGAGGTGACAGCTGTGCATAGTCACCCAAAGAAGCTTGTCTTTCATGTCGGTGTCAACACTGCTGGAACACACCACCTGCTGCCCACTGTGCTAACATCCACTGTTTGGTCTCCATAAATATTAGGCAGGTGTCAGTGAATGTTGATAGAGGCCATTTTTTTCTGCATGGAGGAATTCAATTCTATATCTTTTGCTTCATATGTACTTCTGTGTTGGATGCCATTTTGTCAGACTGCCCTTCTGCTACCATCTGTTGCACAGCAACAGAATTTAATGAATATTAATGGAAAAGTTCAGCCTCTACTACCATCTCGCCAACATCTGTCTCTGGTTTTGTGGTCGACAGAACAAAATAAGAGGCATTACTTCTGGAGCAGCCCCTATGTGTTTTGGTTTTGTCACAAAAAATGATGGGCTAAGTATATATAAAGTCTGTCTTCTCCTTTTAGATTTTAGTCACCAATCTGGATTTCCATGATGAACAGAAGCGTCGGAACTTAAATGGAACGCTACATGAGCTTTTAAGAATGAATATTGTCCCAATAATTAACACTAATGATGCTGTTGTTCCACCTCCAGAACCGAATAGTGATCTACAGGGGGTAAATGTGGGTAAAGTATTGCAGGGGGTGGATTTTTTTTTTTTGTAGATGGGAGAGTTTACTAACACTGTAATCATAAATGTCAGGAGCCTGAAGCAGAGAAACATACAAAATTAGTAATGTGGACAAAGGGAGCAGAGAACTGTGCCAAGCTGTCTGTTTCTGACATGATATAACTGTGGGATGGAAGCGGGGCAAATGCTATCTGCTCTGCTAAAAGTGAGCATGCCCTATTTGGTTTTCACAGAATAGCTGAGGTTGGAATTGACTTCTGCAGATCATCTTATTGAACACCTGTGCTTAAAGAATGATCTGTTAGTACTTCTTGCACTTTCATTGGGTGTCATTGTGGAGTGTCCTGATCTAACTGCCTGTCACTTTGGTGCTGTTTTACTGCATTCCAGAAGGCTACTTACTTTCATGCAAAAAATCAGCTTCTAAGAGTTTTCACTGGGTGTGAACAAAGCAGCTAATAAGGACTTGGTAGTGCTGAAGTGGCTTAGGTTTGTATGTTGTAGCCAAATATTTCCTAGTTCTTCCCATTGTTCAGTATACTTGTTCCATGTCTGTTCATTGCAGGTGATTAGTGTGAAGGATAATGACAGTTTGGCAGCACGTCTGGCTGTCGAAATGAAGGCTGATCTCCTTATTGTTCTTTCAGATGTAGCAGGTTTGTAAAAGTAATGTAAGGAAATTGTTCAAGTCTGTCAAAAATGTCCACTAGACAGAAAACTGTGCCTTCTGCTCCTGTTCTTCTGACATCCAGTAGGTCTAGTGCAACCACCCAGATGGAGCTCCAGTCAGTTCATATAACCACCCAGCATTTAGTGTGAAGGGTGTGATGGGAGTAGTCTTTCAAATGAAAGGTGATAGCAAGCATACCTGCGGGAGGTGTGCCTAGCTAAATGAACTGCTCTGCCTGGTAGCTCAGCTTCAGGGATAACTGGAGAGACAGAAGCATCTGGGAGTTTGAGAAGGTGCACCCTCTCTGGTGCACAAATGATAACTTAAAACACAGAATCACAGAGACACCAAGGTTGGAAAAGATCTACAGGATCATCCAGTCCAACCGTCCACCTGTCACCAATAGTTCTCTCTAAGCCATACCCCTCAAGACAAAATCCAAACAGCCACTACTCAGAACTGGTATCTCATCTGCATCAGCAAGCATTAAAAGTAGCAACTTGAGTGATGCTGAGGAGTGAAAGCGAGTTACTACATGGAGCCATGAGGAGCAGTTGCTTGCTCACTTGAAAGCCTCCAGAGGAGGGCAGCAAAGCTGATAGAAGGATTGTAAGGCATGTTGTGTAAAGAGAGGCTGAGGGTGCTTCATTTGCCTGGTTTGGAGAAAAGGAGGCTAAGAGGTGACCTCATTGCTTTCTACAGCTTCCTGATCATGAGAAATGGGGAAGGGGGTATTGATCTCCTGATTTACCAATGATAGAACATGTGAGAAAGACATAGAGCTGCACCACACCAGGTTCAGATTTGGTAGCTGGAAAAATTTTACTGTTATGGTGGTTAAGCACTGGAACAGAATTCCTAGAGAGGTGGTTGATGCTTCTCTAAAGATATCATCTGAGGATAATGATATTTAATAAGCTTAAACTTTTGGTCCTGAGGTGGTTAGGCAGTTGTACTCTGATCTTTCTATGTCCCTTCCAATTGAGCTTTCAAATTTGTTAAAATAGTCAAACCAACTTGTGTTCAGGTTTTTCTGAACTCTTCAGTTCCTATGTTTTACAACTAGACTGTCCTGTAGCTGTTCAATTGTGTGCTTATGTTTGTAAGCCCTGATATTGAATGTGAAAAAAAAAAGCTGTAAATTTCCCTCTAGCTTTCTCTCTAACCTCATTGAAATATCTGTGTTTCATATCTTGTACACTACAGTTTGGCATGGGTGTTAATCTGTTTCCCCTTATTAGCTACAATTTTGGTAAAACTATATGTCTTGATTCTATATGTTATGTTCATGCTTTAATTCCCACAAAGAGGAGAGCTCAGAGGAAGTTTTTAATCCTGTTAAGTGGAATACAGCTTTTCAGTTTCAAGGATATATTTCAAGGTGTTTTTTTTTTTTTTTCTTTTTTTCTTTTTAAATATTTGCTTCAGGACTCTTCAACAGCCCTCCAGGATCTGATGATGCAAAGCTCATTGACATATTCTACCCAGGAGACCAACAGTCTGTGACATTTGGAACCAAATCTCGAGTGGGAGTGGGAGGCATGGAAGCCAAGGTAGAAACTTGGAATGTTTTCTTACTGGGGGGGAAAGGAAGATGTGAAAAGGGATGTAGATAATACAAGACTGGAACGAGTGTCTGGTAGACCAGATAATTTCAGTGCCATTCAGAGGAGCCTTGACAGGCTGTAGTTAGGGGCAGACAGGAACCTTTTGAAATGCAGCGAAAGGAAATGCCAAGCCCTTTGCCCAGGGAGGAGCGACTCTATGACCAGCAGTGGTGGCTGGATGGATGTGTGAAAACAGTGGTTGTGAATAGAGTTAAGTCCAGCTGTTAGCCAGTCACAAGCAGTGTTCCCAGGGCTCAGTACTGGAGCAAGTTTTGTTCATACTTTTATGAACAATTTTGATGAGGGGAGTGAGTGCACCCTCAGAAAGTTGGCAGATCTCACCAAGGTGGGTGGGAGTGTTCATCTGCTTAAGGATTGAAAGGCTCTGCCGGGGGCTTCGGATAGACTACGTCAGTGGGCTGCGTCCAGTTGTATGGCATGCAACAAGGCTAAGTGGCAGGTACTACATTTGGGTCATAACAACTCCATGCACTACTACAGGCTTGTGGAACAGTGGCTGTAAAGTTGTCTATCAGGAAAAGGCCCTGAGGGTGCTAGTCAGCCGTGAGCTGATCTTGAGGCGGCAGTGTGGCTGGCCCTTGTTGTCAGTGTGCCAAGAAGGCCAGTAGCCTTCCCCTCTTCTCAGAAGTAACAGGGCCAGCAGGACTAGGGCAGTTAATTGTCACTCAGTATCTGGCACTGGCGAGACCTCACCTGGAGTGCTGCCTTCAGACCTGAGTCCTTCACTACAAAAAAGATACTGTGTTGCTGGGTGTACTTTAGAGAAGAGTAACAAAGCTGGTGAAGAGTTTAGGAAAAAAAAGACTTGGAAGGGGAGAGTCCTGGAGTTGCTCAATCTGACAAAACGTGAGCGCACTATGCCCTTCGAGCCAGCAGCATCCAGGGTTCCAGGACAAGGAAAAATGGTTTTAAGTTGAGGGAGGAGAGATTGAGGTTGGATATCAGGGGGAAATTATTTACAGAGAGAGTGGTGAGGTGCTGGAGCAGCTGCCAGAGAGGTTGTGGTTGCCTCGTCCCTGGAGGTGTTCAAGGCCAGGTTGGATGGGGCCCTGGGCAGCCTGGGCTGCTATGAAATGTGGAGGTTGGTGGCCCTGCCTGGGGGGGGGGGGGGCATTGGAGATCCATGATCCTTGAGGTCCCTCCCAGCCCAGGCCATTCTGTGATTCTGCGGTTGCATTAGGAGAAACATAACCAGCAGGTCAAGGGAGGTGATCATTCTTCCCTACCCAGCACTAGTCTGGAGATCTGTGTCCTGTTCTGGATGCCCCATTGCAAGATGGACATGACATACTACAGTGAATCCACGGGAGAGCCAGGAATGCGATTAAAGAGTTGGAATATGATGAAGAGAGGCTGAGAAAGCTACAACTAACTACTTACATGAGTAGGAGAATGCTTGGGATACATTACTGGTGTGTATAAATACCTGAAGGAAAGCTGTAGAGAAGACAAAGTCCAACTTTTCTCAGGGATATCCAGGGAACAAACAAGAGGCAATGGTCTCTGACTGAAATGCAATAAATGCAACTTAAATGTAAGAACTTCTGTAGTGGAGTGGAACAGGTTGCCCAGAGAGCTTGTGGACTCTTTGTGCTTTGAGATGTTCAAGACCTGGCAGGACAGTGTCCTCAGCAACATACTCTAGTTGACTCTGCTTTGGGCAAGGGCTTAGAGTGTGTGATTTCCAGGGATCCTTTCGAGCCTCAGCTGTTCTGAGTAGCCTCGAATGGCTGGACTTATCTGAAACCCATGTGAATTGAAAAGAGCAACTCACACAATACATTTAATGAGTTTGTAAAATGTGATATTGGAACAATATAAAGTTGATGATTTAAATTAAAGTAAGAGTCAGCCCTCACTGCTTTCTTACACAGTGATCCAGAGACTTGGGATCCCTATCACTTGAATCTCATAGGCTACTTCTGCCGCCTTTCTGTGTTTCTCTGCATGACCTCTGCTTCTGAAAGATATTTGGTGAAGACTGAGCAACTTCAGTTCTGGAGTGGAAAAGTTAAAGGAGGTAGTGTCAATGATTTATAGTGCTGTGCAGGGTCAGACACCTTCAGTGTCCAGTGCTGTGAGTGGATAAACATTGACATATTGTGGGACTTAAGAGAATGTTGCTAGAGGGAGTTGCTGGTTCCCCAGAGGACCATGTTGCCATCCAGAGGGACCTTGGTAGGCTGAAGAGTTGGTCTTACAGGAATCCCATGAAGATCAACAAGTGCAGAGTCCTGCACCTGGAAGGGAATAAACTCGGGCACCAATATGCTGAGGGCCACCCAGCTTGAAAGCAACTCTGCAGAAAAGGACAGAGTAGTCCTGCTAGAACGTGAATCAGCAGTGTGCTCTTCCCGCTAAGAACACTCATGTTGTTCACAGCAGCATTAAGCAAAGGTCCAGAGAGGTGATCCTTCCCCCCTCTACTTTGCACTGGTGAGGTTGTACCTGCAATAGTAGGTCTCAGAACAAGAGAGACCTGGATATACTGAGAAGAGGCCAATGGAAGGGCACCAAGATGGTCAAGGAATAGGAGCTCCCCTACTGTGAGGAGAAACAGAGAGAGCTGGGACTGTTCAGGCTCAGGACAGATATGAAGCATGTGTATAAATACCTGAAGGGAGGGTGCATAGAGGATGCAGCCGTGCTCTTTTCAGAGGTGCTCAAGGGCAGGGCAAGAGGCAGTGGGCACAAACTGGAGCACAGGAGATTCCATCTGATCATGAGGAAGCACCTCTGTACTGTTGGTGATGGAGCACTGACAGAGGTCATCCAGAGAGGTCGCAGACTCTCCCCCTTGGTGATCTTCAGTGAAGCCACCAGAAAGCCACCAGGACATGGCCCTGGGCCCCTGCTCTAGGTGTCTCTGATGGAATGTGAGATTGGACCAGAGCTCCCTTCCAGCCTCGATCATTCTGTTATTCTTTCTAATGTTTCTCATGATGCTGAGTTGTGAACTGCTTTAGTATTTATAGATGCAGATTTCCTGAGATGACTTTTAGAAAGCTGTCTGTAAACAGAGAAATGGATTTTGACAAAGCGCAGGAAGGCCGAAGTCAAGATGTTTGCCAGTTCTCTTATGTCTCCTTTTTGACTAATCTGATAGAGCAGACTTCGTATCAAGCTTAGACCGGAAAACAATAGAAGGAGGAGATATTTGAGTGTTTTATTTGGGAATTACTGGATGTATAGAGGTCAATTAGAAGTGAATTTCCATTCAGTTGATATATGAAATAGTTTAAATAGTGCTAGGAATTGGTGAGAAAGCTGACAAGGTGAGGCAATACTTCTTCTCTAAAAGCAGCAATCTGTTAAAGATATTTGGTATCTTTTAGTTTGAGTCACATAAATGGGAATCCAAATGCTACTATTTGAACAAGAATGTGTTGGAATTGAGAATCAGTTGATATTTTTGGAAAACCGAAGTGTCAACAATGGTATAAACATGGTAGTTCGAATATTGATTATTAGCATGAGATTTGGGCAAAAGTGGAGCAATTGATGGTCTTGTGGTAGTGAAAAGCTTGATATGACAGGCATCCGACAGATGGTGTCTTCTAGTGGATATGGGTTGCAGTATAAAAGTATGGGAACATATAGGAAAGTGTAGAAGTGACAAAGCAGCATTGTCACTAGAAACTTTTGTGGTGATATACATTACATGAAATTAAATATCACAGTGGAATGATGTTGTCAGTACCTTAGTCAGAAAAAGTAATGAAGGAGACCGTAGGCAGTTCACCTTTAGTGGGTAACATCTGGAGTTTGTTTCTGTGGTTTTGTCTATTTACTTGAATTAGAGAAAAGGTTTCTTGCGATGCTCTGAACAATGATTTAAGTAAGTGGAAAAAGGGAAATCTTAGGACATAGTGATTTCAAAGGACTCTTGCAAATAAGCTTGCTTGCTGATGTTCAGAAAGGGAACTCATCTTGCCTTCCATGTTAAAGCAATGCCTGAAGAAATACCGCTGCTAAATTTTATGGAGATCTTATTAACCATGATGTTTGCTTCTGCTTACTTCATGTGACAGCACACATATTCTGGTAGTATCACTGATTTCAATTCTCATCTGCCTGCGTCCCTTGGGTTTGGTTTTGAACTTGATTCTAGCCTTGTTCCTTTCATGCATTGCATAGTACAGTGTGGGTCTGACCATTGAAGTTAACTGGTAGTTAAGTTACAGCATAGAACCCATCTCCAAAACTACAAAAGTAAGAAGAATGCAAAAAAAAAGAAAAAAAAGAAAAAAAGAAAAACAAAAAGCCACACACAAAAACCCCCATATAATTGAAAAATGAATAAATGCAGTCTTCAAATAGAGCCTACTGAAAGAACAAACAAGTGTACTCCCAAGGGAAAAAAGGAAGCAGCAAATAAATTTTTAAAAAAAGGTCTAAAGGCATTAGCAGGAGGTGTTGTAAACAGTTTAAAAATGTGTGGAAACCCAAAGAACTCTTCGGAGTACTTAATCTTTTTCACCAAAAGGTCTTAAACAGTGAGGGAACTTCTGCATCTTACACAGATTTGTAAGGGGTGGGTAGCCAGTCGAAGTTCCAACGGAGTAATTCAGAAAGGTAAGGACACTGAATAATATTTTAATGATACATGGTAGGCTAGGACTTGTACAAGTAATATTGTGTGGGCGCTCAAAGTGGATTAATTACTGATGGCTAGCCAGTGTTAGGGAAATTAGCAACACGGTTTTTCAAAAAAGAAAATTGTGTTTTTTCAAACAGTAAGAAGAATTTGCAACATAAGAGAATGTCGAAGAGGAGCATTTGGGCAAAGTGCCCCTGTAGAAATCTTAAAAAGGGCAGACTGTTAGGGAAATGTGAAGTATGTTTCTGAAGCAGCATCTGTTTAAGGAAGGGAAGTAGAAATCAAAATGCATGATCTAACATAACATTAGGTTGCAGAAATTCCTGAAATGTGTTGAATGTTCTGAAAGCATAAAGGCCTAACGTAGAGATCAAAGTGGAACTGTGTCCTACGAGGAGCAACTGAAGGAACTGGGGCTGTTCGGTCATGGGAAAAGAAGGCTGAGGGGAGATCTTATTGCTTTCTTCCAATAGCTGAAAGGTGCTTACAGCGAGTGCGGGGTTGGTCTCTTCTGGCTGTGACTGGTGACAGGATGAGGGGGAATGGCCTCAAGTTGCACCAGGGTAAGTTTAGGTTGGATATCAGGAAAAACTACAGAAAGGGTTGTTAAGCAGGGGTGGTGACTCACTGGAATAGGATCTTCAGTGGGTCACCACCCCTGCATATGTTTAGAAACTATTTGGATGTGGTGCTCAGGGATATGATTTAGCAGAGGGTTGTTAGAGTTAGGGTAGGATGGTTAGGTTGTGATTGGACTTGATGATCTTTAAGGTCTTTTCCAACCTGAGCAATTCTGTGATTCTGTAAGAATTCTTGTTGAGAATGGGGATTCAAATAACACGTGAATTTTCTGGAACTGGCTCTATCCTGTAGGTGAAAGCAGCTCTGTGGGCCCTCCAAGGAGGCACTTCTGTAGTGATTGCAAATGGAACTCACCCAAAGATCTCTGGTCACGTCATCACAGATATTGTGGACGGGAAAAAAGTTGGAACTTTTTTTTCAGAGGTAAAGCCTGCAGGTGAGTATAGAATTAAAGAGATTTCCTGAAAGCTTAGAGTTAAAATTTAGCTAGGTCTGTACAACAAATAGGAAAGCACGTTCTGCTTGACAAATGGTTGTTGAAAGATATTTTCTGAGGTTGGAATAGAAAATCCTTTGCTAAGATTCCCTCTAGCTGCTAACTTGATGCATCAGAAGTGTGTTTAAAGAACTGAGTAGAATTGTCTTTTTACGCTGTAGAGGCTATCCTCTGTGGTTGAATATTTTGGTGTGAAAGAAAGCATACTATAAAATGTGCTGCTGAACTAAAATAATGTCTAGTTATACTTTTTATCACAAATTCATTTTACTGCTTTCTACCTTCTGGTATTACAGGTTGGGAATGTTTTATAGCCTCTCTGTTCCTCTGGCATTGTAACAGTGGCTGTAGAAACATCCATGATCTTAGCAGAGTAGAACAAGTATGGAGTGGTACTTGTGACTTGCGCTGTAAGACAAGTGTGTACAATAATGCTGGATGGATTTCTTGTATAAATTTGTCAAATCACCTTTAGAACCTATGTAAATCCTTAGTATTCATGAGACTGAGTCACAGCAAGCAAGAGCGTTAACTAAATACTCTGTAAACTCTAGAGCTAGTAGTATATGAAGAACTGCCTTCTTTATTTTGTGTATGTCTGTGGATAGGAGAGCTGTTCAAATCTGCTTGCTGCTAGCTTCTGGTACCCTTGCTTTCTGTACGGAGAACATGGGTGGTCAACTTTGATCAACTTCTACAATGTGAGACGGCATCTTTTTGCTCGACAAACTTTTTGTCTTAGTCATTTTGTATAGAAGTTATTCCAAAAGTATGGTCATCCTCTCATCTCATCTGAAAACGTTTTTGTTCTACTGTGGCCTTTTTGAAGTGCACAAAAATTTAAATTTCTGGGAGCAGCCAAGACGTAAATGCACTTTCAACGTACAAGATGCAGGACTAACTTTGAGTTTTGGTTAGATTAATGGTGCTTCTGTTGTCTACCTTAGGTCTTGTCTAAAAGCCTAAACATTTAAGTTACTGTTCAATGCTCCTGAGCACTGGTGGGATGTTAGCCTGTGCTCAGGTACTTTCATAATGAAAGTGTTTCATGATGTTCAGGAGACCGTGGAGGGGAGCTTCCTATGTTTCAGTCTGTGCCTATTGCCTCTTGTCTGTTCCTTGGACACCACTGAGAAAAGTCTGGCTCTGTTTTCTATATGCTCTTCCTTCAGGTTTTTATAGACACTGACATCCATCCCCCAGCTCCAAGGCTCCTCTTCTCCTAGCAGAACAGCTCCAGCCCCTAGCTCACAGGAGAGATGTTTCAGTCCTTTGATCATCTTGGTAGCCTTACATCGGTCTCTTTTCAGTATTTACAAGTCACTTTTGTGCTGGGGGTCCTGGAAATGGACCCAGGGCTGCAGGTGCAGTTTCACCAATGCTCAGTCAAGAAAAAAAATCTCTGCTCTTGAACAACTGACAGTACTTTACCTAATGCCACCCAGGATACCACTAACTTTCTTGGTGGTAAGGACACAATGCTGACTCATGTTCACGGTGTCCACCAGAACACCAAGCTTTGTTATTGAAAAGATGCTTTCTAGGAAAAACTGTGGTATTGACACTTTTCACTTAGCCATACTACAATAAATTTGTATCAACCGTAAAGAATATCATCATGTTACCTCTGTTTCTGTTTCAAAACTTGTTCTATGCCATTTCATTTTGATATGGATTCTCTGAGTTCCTACCAGGGGAAAAAAAAACTTTCTTCTGTGGGAACCATTCCAAAATAGACTAGATATTAGGAAGAAATCCTTTACTGTGAGGATGGTGAGACACTGGAATAGGTTGCCCAGAAAGGTGGTGTATGCCCCCTTCTTGAAAGCATTCAAGGAAAGGCTGGTCTGGAGGGAATTGTCCCTACCTATCTAGCAAAGGAGTTAGCAGTAGATGATCTTAAGGGTCACTTCTAACCCAAACCATTCTATGATTCTATGAAAACATACACAGAGAGACAAAGGGAAAGAAGCTTTTCTGCAAGGTGTTACTCAGATTGGTTTGGGTTTCCATTATTGTTTCTACATTCCCCTGCTGTTTTGCAGCACTTTCTGTTTTCTTTAGATACTTTAAATATTTCTGTGTTTTCAGTAGCACCCTATACCTTGAGAGTTACCCATCTTGGTGTTCTTTTACTCTTTATCATTGGAGAGGGTCCAGAGGATGGCCATGAAAATGGTCAGAAGGCTGGAGCACCTTCCTTATGAAGATGGATGAGGGAGCTGGGCTTGTTCAGCCTGTAGAAGAAAAGGCTGTAAGGAGACTTCACTGCAGCCTTCCAGTATTTAAAGGGGGATTATAAGCAGGAGTGGAATAAACTTTTCACAAAGGTAGATAGTGATAGGACAAGGGGGAATGGTTTTAAGCTCAAGGAGGGAAGGTTTAGACTGGATGTCAGGTGAACATTCTTCACAGAGACAGTGGTGAGGTGCTGGAACAGGCTGCCATGAGAGGCTGTGGATGACCCATTCCTGGAGGTGTTCAAGACCAGGTTGAGTAGAGGCCTGGGCAACCTGATATAGTATGAGGTCTGGAGGTTGGTGGCCCTGCCTGTGGCAGGAGGTTGGAACTTGATGATCCTTGGGGTCTCATCCAACCCAAGCCATCCTATGATTTTTATGTCTTTTTGATACAAGCTTTTCCACTCTGACGTGAATTGTCTTACTGAATCTCTGTGATGCCCTTAAAAGTGATATGCTTGGAATTGTGGCAGTGTTTTTCATCTGATAGGTATAAAATGGATATATCCTGTTTTGACATGCAGTAAATGTCTTTGATATATTTGTTACAAAAGTACTTGTTTTCCTGCTTTGAGTAAAGAGGTGAAAGATATAAGGGCTGGTGTTCATTTCCACACATCTGTAACTTTGTCCATGTGTGATATGGGCTTTTATTGTTGCATTTTTGTTTTGTTACCATGACACAGGCCCTACAGTAGAGCAGCAAGGTGAAATGTCTCGAGCTGGTGGCAGGACCCTGGCAGCACTGCAGCCTGAGCAGGTGAGAGAATATGGCTTCACTTGCTAAGCTTGTGAATGTGTGGCAAGTTTAAAAAACAGATTTTTAACACGAACAGGCTTCCTGGGACAAGAACCTGTTATTTGTGTGCTAGATCCTTTGTTTGGATGTTTAAATAGATGCAGCGAGCCCATGGATAGTATACCTGAGAATTATGATGTAGTAAGTGTTTGCATGTAGGGTTTATAAACATTGCCATAACATATACTATGTAAAAATTGATTTTTCAGTGCTTCTGAAGAGTTAACAGGAATAATTTGGCCTATTCACTCCTGTGTGTGTAGCGTATGCAAGTGAGAAGTTTGAAACAATCGGTTACTGCCAATTACTGCTTTACAACTGACTGGGTAAAATGTCATCTGTTGCAAAGACCACAAAGTGGTCTGAAAACTTTGTGGGTTTAGTAAAATGATTGCACCAGAACAACAACAAAAAAAAACAACGAACAAACAAACAAAAAAACCAAAGTGAAGGTCTCTTCAGCCTTATTTTTCAATGTAATGCAATCTAGAAAAATCAGCTGGCCTCAAGTATTCAGGGAGTTAAGACAGTGAAAAGGTACGGTCAGTAGAAAGGAAATGGTGGGCTAGGTATCAAATAGAATGGATTTCGTATAAGAATGCAGTTCAGAAACATTTGTCTTTCAGAGAGCAGAGATTATTTATCGTCTTGCTGATTTACTAACCGATCAAAGAGAAGAAATTCTCTTGGCAAACAAGAAGGACTTAGAAGAAGCAGAAAATAAAGGTAATACTACAATTTGTTCCGTCATATTCCTGTTGTCATGAAACTGAGTCTCAAAGGAAATGGGCAGAACTAGAGATATTTGTCACCTGAGATTGGGAATTATTGGTATCACAGATTAGTGAGACCAGGACTTGGAGAGTTTGTCAATGTAAACAGCAGCAGCTTCCACAATTACGTAAAACAGATGTATTCATCACAGAAGTTGGTGAGACTTTGCAAAGCACCAGGAAGAGCTCTGTAATAAAATAAAATAAAATAAATAAATGATAGTGCTCTCTTCTGCCAAAGCAGGCTCACTTCAGAAGTGAAATATGGCAAATATCTTTCCTGTTACTGTAATGCAAAAAGTGTCTATTTCCCAGGCTGGTTGTCATAATGTTTGGCTCCTATGGGGATTGTTGCCATCCATGTACTTAAATTGATACCCTCCAAGAACAACCATTTTGTGGTAACTGTTGAGTCATGGCCTGAAGCACTGATTGAGCACTTGTGGAAAGGACTTGTCAGCCCTGGGAGCACAGCTGAAGGCAGTTCAACTGTGTGACTGGAAGGGGTGAATCCTGGCTGTACCTCTCTTATACTTCAGTTGGGGGCTGACTGCCACTGGGAAGGAGCTCTGGTTAGAGATTCCTCTCTTGTGGAGTTTTCCCTGTGAGCCTAGATATTCAGAGACAGATGAGTACTTTTCCTTCTCCTTTGTGACACTTGTTCATTCAGTTTAGTCCCTTTGCGACTACAGTCTGTATCTCCCTTCCGCTGTGTTGACCTTTCTGGTTGTAACAACCATATTCTGGAAATGTATGAAATTGATACATCGCAAATTGTACTATTCAGTAAAAAATACATGGCAACAATTGTATTACTGCCCAAATTACATTGAGGGACATTTCTGGGTAAACTTACTGTCTGAATGTATTCAGACTAGAAAGCTTATGCAGTTCTTGCCCAGCCTGAAATGTGCACTTGTCTGTCACTAAAATAGAAGGATGAAATTATTGCCCAGGCTTTCCAGAACTACTGCAAGGGTATAAACTTGTAAGAAATTTAACTACAGCATTATATAATGGTATTTGAAATTGGAAAAACCTTGTCTTTGTGAATGTGGATGTTGCTTCATATGCATATTAGTTGCACTATATTAGATTTAATTATGGTGGTTGGGAAAACATTCTCACACTGTAGTGATTTTGTAATGACTATGAGACTTAATGTATTGCATTAAGCTTAGGTAGGTTTATTGCTTGGGAGTGGGAAATATCTGAATTTTCCATATGTTCACCCTCCAGGTCACTTTTGCTTGAGTCTAGGCAGACAAATCTATCTCAAGCATATTTTTTTCTTTCCTCTAGGGAGACTGGCACTTCCTTTGTTGAAACGTCTGAGTCTCTCTACATCAAAGCTGAACAGCTTGGCTATTGGACTACGTCAGATTGCAGCATCCTCACAGGACAGCGTTGGCCGCGTAATTCGGAGAACAAGAATAGCAAAAGACCTGGAATTGGAGCAGGTGACAGTGCCTATTGGGGTTCTTCTCGTGATTTTTGAGTCCCGCCCCGACTGTCTCCCACAGGTATGTACAGAGGGCAGACTCTGCTAGGAGTTCTTTGGTAACAAAAGAAAGCATGTTTCTGCTGATGAGTTACTGGGAGGCTGCAGGAAGGCTTGCCTCAGGAGACTTTTGGATTGTTCTAAAATTAATTTTGTTAACATCCTTATTTTTTCTACAAATAAGTTCTCAGGACTTGTTTCTGCAGTGTTGAGAGTTTTTTAGAGTTGTTATTCAATAACCCAGTATATAGAAGGAGTTAGCTCGCATTCAGATGGTGCAGTTCCTGCAGGTATCTCACAAACATAAGTTCCTTGCTTAACTTGCAACTTAGAAGGTTCTTACCAATGAATGCTTGTCTGTCCATGCTGAATGCAGCTGAATTGCAAGATAAGCTTAAACTTCAATTGTTTAATGAAAATTGTTAATAACAAATTGTAACTGTTAGGAATATGTGTTAAAAAATGTAGCTCAGAAGTTCTAGGCTTTGAGTAGTCTGTCCTTTGCTAATACTGCATACCTGCAGTGAGGTAAAATTAGAGCTTTTACTTCTTGAGAGATGGGTGTGAGGAAAAGCAGTGGTTTAATGTGGTGATTTAAGTTCTGTACTGAAGTTGTGAGAAAAAAAACAGTGAAAATCTTGAATGGTGTACTGTAAGTGAATGTCATTTGTGTGTCCAGAGTAAGGCAGGTATGTTACAGGTAAGTATCTTCATCTGCAGAGCTGTGTAGCAGAAATATTGCTGTGATTAAATGCTAATAAAATACATGAAAATATGGGATCTGAACTAAAGTTGCATGGGCAACCTTGATCTTATTTTCTAATCTCTGACTAATGATGTTGTTGAAGTTTGAGTTCTTCTCTGCCCAGCTCACCAGTCTGTCCAGGTCCGGTTGTATTGTTGAATTCAAACATTCAGTTGACCTCTTGTGGTGTTGGACTCAAAATATGTGAAACTTAGTGCTATAAACAGGCAGATGACAAGATCAATAAGTTCTTTCTGATTATAAATGTGAAAGCAATGTGATAAAGTTCATGCTGTGCCTACTGTCCTGAGTTTTTCTTCCCTCTTCACTTATCTCAAGTGTTATCTATATTTGTGTTTTAGACAGCACAATGGAAAATCTTCTTGATAGGAAGAGCTTATTAGCTATTTCCAGTCAGAATGACTAGAAACAAGAATTCTTGCATCTCAAATTATTTTATACAGCTATTCAATTCATGCCAGAGCCTCTGTCCAGGGTTTTTTTCACTCGCTGCAGTCCATCTGCCAGTAGTACTCTGAAAATTCAAGTTTGTGCCTGGAATGTTAAGATACTTAATTTCTGGAGTTATATGTTCTGTTTGTTGTGCATGAGATTGATACCGAGTAAGAACAGAATTCAGAATTCTGTTCCAGCTCTGTGGATGTTATTCTTAGAAGAGGTAGATTGCTTTGTCTTTTCCTTATTTTCCTGTTTGTCTGTCTTCGTGTTCCTTTCTGACAGGTGTCTGCTTTGGCCATTGCTAGTGGAAATGGTTTGCTACTTAAAGGAGGAAAAGAGGCAGCTTATAGCAATCAAATCCTTCATCATCTGACACAAGAAGCGCTTTCAATTCACGGAGTCAAAGATGCAGTGCAACTGGTAAGTATCTAGAACTAAATCAACAGTATTTTGCTATGTATAAGGAGAACAGGTAGAACTTCAGACTATGGACTACTTGTATCACAACTTCCACAGGTGAATACAAGAGAGGAAGTAGAAGATCTCTGCCGTCTGGATAAGCTGATAGATCTTATCATTCCACGTGGTTCTTCCCAGCTAGTCAGGAATATACAGAAAGCAGCAAAGGGAATACCTGTGATGGGACACAGCGAAGGAATCTGTCATGTGTATGTGGATGTGGATGCCAGTGTTGAAAAGGTCACGCGAATAAGTAAGCAGTCTGAGGGTGACTTGAATCATGGGTGTAACTGAGCTTCGTATTTGGAATATGTAATAAGATTTTGATAATTGCTGATTCATGTACTGTTCAGAATTTTTGACATAAATGTTACATAACAAATTCTCTACTCTTAAACCTCAGTCAGAGACTCAAAGTGTGAATATCCTGCTGCCTGTAATGCTCTGGAAACACTCTTAATTCATCGGGACTTGCTGAGAACCCCGTTGTTTGATCAGATCATAGATATGTTGAGAGTAGAACAGGTAAGTCATGTATACTTGTGTTTTTTATTTGTCCTGATTTGTTTATTTTTTTAATGTTTTAGAAGCATTTCTTCTGGCTGACATAACCTTATGTAGCTTTGTGATGGCCTAACACTTGAGTTATCCATGTCTCTTTGTAGATGCAAACAAACTTCATGGAGAATTTTCTTGTCTTCACACAGCCCCAAGCTTTTCCATGGAAATGATCAGAAAGCAGCTTGTGTACTGTGCCTGGGATACAGATACTTTCTTTTACATAACAAAAAAATTGTTTCACCATGTAACCCTTCCTCTGCTCCTCTTAATTCTGACTTAATTGCTTATTACTTTCTAGACCTAAAGCCTGTTCTTACTGTGTCTATTCACTTACCGTTTTACTTTAGACAATTTCCAAATTGTTTTTCTTCTCTTAGAATCTGCTTTATCAGCTTTTTTTTTTTTTTTTTAAGACCTTTCATCTTGTGTGCCTTTATTCCCACCTGTTCTCTCTCCAGTTACATCACAGGAGTCGTGAGAGGCCACTGTATGACTTAAATGTCTTGACATGAGTAATTTTTTGCCAGTAAAGGTAGCAGAGATACATCAGGACCTAAATATTTATTAAATACTTTGAATTGCATATTAAACAAATATTTTTCATACAGCAGCACGTATTTGACATTGTTCAGGCAGTAGTTAATGCAGGAAAATGGGATAGAATAGGCCCTGTGTTTTGGTGATGATAAAAGGATTGTAGTAAGAAAAGCTGGCCTTTGTATATAGTCAGGAGCAAGTCCTCACCTAATGGATGTTTTCATTTTTATTTTATTTATTTATTTTTTTTTTTAACATCTTTTTTGGTTGTATTTCAAGAAGGGTAGAGTGAAGGGATATGTGTCTGGATTTTGGAGAGGAGGAATGTGAGGACTGGTACACTTCTACCAACACGCAACTGCCCCCAGCCCTTAAAGTAATGGAGAGGATGTGATGACACTGCTGTCCACTCTTGACTAGACAACGCGAAACCTGCAAATATTGGGCAGGATTACACAGTCAGTATAATTTGTAGTTTCATGTGAAAATGCTATCCTACATGTTAGGGATTTAGTCCTAAATTTCAAACTTTGTTCACCTTTTTAGCGGACTTGTGAGACTTATTTCTCACTTATATTTGTCCTGTCAACATTTCCTTTATTTCACTTCCATTGGGATTTCTGTGCTGTACCACTTACGAAGTGTCACAGAATAATAAAATATAGTGATTTGCAAGACTCCCAAGAATCGTAAGTCCAACCTCTGGCTCCACACAGCACCACTCAAGTCCTATATTTGAGTGCAGTGTCCAAATGCTCCTTGAGCTCTGACAGTTCAGGGCCATGCCCACTGCCTGGGGAGCCTGTGCCCTGCCCGTTACCCTCTGGCTCAGAATGTTTCCCTAACACCCCGTCTGACTCTCTCCTGACACAGCTCCATGCTGTTCCCTTTGGTCCTATTGCTGCCCCCAGAAAGCAGAGCTCAGTGCTCGCCCCATGTCATTGTTTATGTATCTTGGCTGTTAGGATTGAGCTTGGAGGTTGGTGATGCATTAGATTTTCGTTATAAGGTATGTGAAAATCTGTGTGAGTACTTGTCTAGTTTTGGACAATAATTCTTTTTTGTCTGAAACAAATGCTTCAGACGGGGCTGGTGCTAATTTACAAAATAAAAGGATAGAAGTAGGTAAAGACTTCTGTAGATGGGACTTGCAAACAGGAAGATTTCCTGTAGTTACTGTTTGCACTGCACTTGCTGTCTAAAAATACTGTGCTGATGGGTGCAGTAGTGTTGTAGTGACCTCCTGCCAGATGTCTTTCTCTCTAAATAATGAAAAATGAGCCCTGGACTAGGAGCATGTCATGATAGATATCAACATGTCAGCTATTGTGCCTTATTGCTAATTATATCTGCTGAGTCTCTGAAAACTTTGTGCAATGCGAGATAAATTATCCTTAGTGAATGTTTCATACACAAATGTGTTTTAATACCAGTCAGCAGCTAATCATCCAACTCGTTACTCACTTTCCCCCTGTGGAAGAGGAGCAAGAGCAAGAAAATTAATGGATAAAAATATAGTTGAATTAGCGAAGAAGAAAAAAAGAGAAAAACAAAACAAATGATGAAAATAGTTCGCTATCTGCTACTTTTAGACCGATGCCAGTCAATCCCTGAGTAATGTCTGCTTTCCTCAAAACCCCTCTCCTCTCAGTTTTATTGCTGAGTATGTTGTTGTGTGACATAGAATATTCCTTTTGTTGGTTGGGATCAGCTGTTGTGGCTGTGTCCCTTGTCATCTTTTTTGCACACCCCAACCTTCTCACTGTGGGGAGAAAGAGAGCCTTAGAACTATCCAAGCACTGTATAGCAACGGCCAAAATGGTGATTTATTTTGGGCACAAATCCAAAATGTATCACTATACAGTCCAGTATGAAGAAAATAAAATCCATCATAGCCAGACCTGAAGTAAGAAGCTTGCATGTTCATTTGGAAATTGTTGGTATGGTCAGAATTGCAACATATTTATGGTGTTGCAGGTGAAGATTCATGCTGGCCCAAAATTTGCCTCTTACTTGACGTTCAGCCCCTCTGAAGTGAAATCTCTCCGCACTGAATATGGGGACCTGGAGTGCTGCATTGAGGTTGTGGACAGTGTCCCAGAGGCTGTTGAACATATCCACAAGTATGGAAGCTCTCACACGGATGTTATCATCACGGAAAATGGTTTGTGAGCGGTTTGTTTCTTTCTGTTTTGGTTTTGCTCTTGGTTTTAGCATAACTACTTATGTTGCAGTAGTTTCTTTTACTGTGGTTCCAGAGTAGGCATAATCTTCTCTTGCCAGGTAGATTGTTTTGTGTTCTTGGACCACATCAGGCAGTTTTGCAGGAATGTCTCCTGAACTCTGAAGAAGTCCTTAGGCCTCTGTAGGATGAAGAGGTGAATTTCTGTGGTGGGAATGGACTGTAGGGAAAATTAGACTGTTTTATCTACTTTGTCTTGTCATGTCATTTCTATGTCTTGCAAACAAGGACCACAAATGTTTTTCCCCACCTCTTCCAGTCCTTTATTTCCCAGTTCTGCATCTGTAGTTTAAAAGCTGCATTTGTCTCAGTTCCCATTTTCTTGCTCCTTTAATGCTCCCATCCCTAGTACCTGTTTTGTGTGCAGCTTGTATGCTGTGCCAGTTCAAAACAAGTGAGAGCTGCTCCCAGCCAAAAGATGACTCTTAATCCAAGCCTTAATGCAGATGAGGGTCAGCTGCAGTGACGTTGCGTTGTTTGTGGCTCATCCATGTGAGCTCCAAGCAAACTTGTGCTTCTGTACTTCCTGCAGAGCTTAGATGAGTGGCACCAAAAGGCGTGCATACCATGTTTTTCCACTTTTTCTCTTATCATTGCAGGCTTCTTGTAACATTTGCAGCTCTGTCTACTTGATAAGAATACTGGGAATGTGTATATGAACACATTCTAACCCAGGCTGTTTAGATACTTCAAACAGTGTTATTGTGAAAGTTCTGCAGTTTTGTCTGTTCACTGTATGAGGCTCTGTATGTCACAGTGCATGATAGTTCCTTCTGTAGGAATTTTATTTCCTGCTCTATTTCTTTCCCAGAGAAAACAGCAGAGTTCTTCCTCCAGCACGTGGACAGCGCTTGTGTTTTCTGGAATGCCAGCACCCGATTCTCTGATGGATATAGATTTGGACTTGGTAAGTGTTGTAGTTTAACTCAAAAGGCAGCTCGACACCATTCAGCTGTTCAATCACTCTTCCATTTGTGGGATTGGAGAGAGAATTGGTGGATAAAAGGTAAGGTTCATGGGTTCAGTTGAAGACAGTTAATAGGAAAGAAAAAGGAGGGGTTTTAAAAAAAAAAAAAAAACAACCATTGTGATGAACAAGTGATGCAGAATGCAGTTGCTTACCACCCATGGACCGATGCACAGCTGCTCTCTGAGCATTGGCAGCCCCCACAGCCAACTCCCCCAGTTTTAGTGTTGTACAATCAGTAGGTATACAGAGGTTAGGCTCAGTAAGAAGTAAGATCAATAAGTATACAGATGCTAGGCTTAGTAAGATAATCACGGTGGAGAGATAATTAAAATAAATGGAAATGCTCACCGGTGTCATAGGCTCGCAGTAAACTCCACAAGGAGCGATCTCAAGAGAGAGGGGAGATACATCCTCACTGGCATCAGCCCTTAAACGGGATGTAGGAGAGGAGGAGCCGGGCTCCACCCCTTCCAGTAGCTCCCGCTGCTGACTCATTGCTGCCCTCAGGTGGTCAATCAGAGGTCCAGGCCGTGATCAACAGTTCCCATGCAACTGCTCAGTGTGGTGTCACGTGGTCTGGAATACCTCTGAGGTCTGTTTGGGTCAGCTATCTGTTCTGTCCTCTCCCAGCCTCCTCACTGGCAGAACTGTGTGAGAAATTGAGAAATCCTTGACATAGTGTGAACACTGCTCAACAGTCACTAAAACATCACTGCGTTATCAATGTTATTTTTCTCCTAAACCCAAAACACAGAACTGTACCAGCCACTATTAAGATAATTCACTCTATTTCAGCTGAGAACAGGAGAGTGAGGATGAGGACATTGCAGAGATAACTGTAGTATTTACTGATATGCGGGAAGTGTGGCAAATACTCATCTTGGTTCTGAAAAACATGATTAATTTCTGATCATACTGCCTCAAACAAGGTTTACAAGAAAAAAGTGCAGGAAAAAAGCCTAGCCCATTCATTCAGGCAGAATGTAACAGTTCTATTTCTTTCCTGCTAGAGCTACCTGATACTATTTTGTAGACAATTTAGCAGTAGGGAGCAAAAATATTTTAGGTCAGTTAAGGTTCTGTTAAATCAGAATAAAATGTGTTGTATGCATGTAATGACAGAACAATGCAACATGGGATCTGAAATGGGTGAACAGTTTATGTTCATCTTTCTGTTAATGCTGTAAAGAATGCCACGCTTTGTTCCTGCTGGGCAGATTGAGCTGCGGTCCAGTGGTGTGAGAAGAAATACAGACTGCAACCAAGCAGTTACCTAAATAAGTGTGTACCTACTGCACATTGCAGAAGACATGAAAAACAATCTTTCCTGAAGTAGAAACAACTAGAAATCTCTGGAGCAGGCTACTGCTGTGCTGGCTGGGAATATACAGTGCTCTGTCTGCTACAAATGCTAGCTTGCAGTCTTAACTAATGTAGCTCTTTCTTTTCAAGGGGTAAACACTCAGCAAAAAAAGTGTAAAATATATAGAAGACATACCCACCTTTCTAGCTTCTCTCTCTAAAAGGGGCCCTGTAGGAGCCAGAAGTATAAACAAGTCCATATTATAATGGACCTATATTATAAATGCTCATCTAACTAACTTCTCCATCAGAACAGGTAAACATAACTTCTGACACTTTGGGAGAATGGAAAAAGACAAGTCACCGAATGGTTTTTTCTACATGAGGATGCAAAACTGTATTGTACCAGGTTGAATATCTTCTGAGGATTGACTGACTTTATCTTGTATGTTTTCTGCAGGTGCTGAAGTTGGAATTAGTACTTCTCGTATCCATGCACGTGGACCAGTAGGAATTGAAGGACTCTTAACTACAAAGTGGCTGTTGAGAGGGGACAATCATGTTGTTTCTGACTTCTCAGAGCATGGCAGCATGAAATATCTTCATGAGAACCTCCCTCTGCCTCACAGAAGTACCAGCTAAGATCACTGGGGAGGAAAACCAGGGTTAAAATGCTTAATGAAGATGTTCAGGCTCCAGTGCATTCTCTGAGGATAGAGATTTGCTTTTCATCTCCAGGATCATTGTTCTTAATCACTGTGCAGTCCATGGAATATGTTGTGATCCTATCTGTGACATACTTGATTTGTTGCTGCCTTTTGCTATTTCCTTTGGTAGTATCTGCAAATAGACTTTGTTTTTACCAGAGACCTTTTTTGAAACATACACTTTCTGCTAGGAAAAGTTCAAATATCTGCTGCGTTCTTTTCACTCCATTGTTCCCTCTGGCAAATGTATATGGTGGTGGAGGAGTATACATTTTTTTAACCAAGGTCTTTGTTTAGTTGAAACATTTGTTGTATTGAACAAACTTGGTAGCTTTTCTTCAGTCATGTGATCATGGCAGCTCTTGAAAGCTCTAAAGCTTTGATGATTATTTTCTTAGTTTTTGATTACACTTGATTACTATGCATTTGGACCGTACCTTTCACTAATGTTCTGATGGAACAATCTTTTATATCTGATTTTGTTGTATTTGTTGACATTCGTAGATAAATAACACAATGGTATACAATGTGAATTTTATTACCTGTTTGTACTAGATGTTTATTTCTCATTGTTTTTATATGAAACAATCCCAATAACTGCATCACCCAGACATTATGCAACTTTGAAGTTTAGAAAAAAAAATGTTTGAGTAAAAGCTTCTGTACTGAAACAAGTGAGCATGCAAGCACACACTGCGGTCAGAGGCTCAGTGCAGCACTCCAGTGACTGGGGCAGTTGGAGCATCGTGGCAAACCCTTTAGGTGATGCTGGGGGACTGTGGGGGCTCGGTGTGTAGTTGAATGCATCTGAGGTCCAGTAGGGCACAGAGGGAAACCAATGGAGAACCCTAGAGCACACTGAGGAGCTGTGAGAGGGTTATAGGGTGCTGTAGGATGTGTCTAGAGCTCCCTAGAGCATGCTCAGTAGCTCTGGGACATTTCTGGTTATCTCTAGAGTTCACTGCGTGGCCCTGAAAGGGCACTAGGTTCCATGAGAGTGTTCTACAGCGTCCAAAAGTCATCTAGGGGACCCTTGGAAACTTCTTAGGAAGTCTCTCAGAGGCCCTAGAGCATAGGAGCAGATTGCATTACAGCTGATTGGCTCTAGAGGGTTGGTAATGAAATTGCTCTATTCAACATTTATTAAAGATCTTTTCTTTCCAAGGTACTATTGTCGTGCTGCTGCTACAGCTTTGCTAAAAGAGATTTAATTTACTCAACATTCCATTAATGCTACTAAAGCACTCGATGGGTGTTTCCAGAGGAGTGGGGGAGCAGCTCTAAGAGATTCAGCATCAGCCCAAAATCTGGAACTGGTAACTAGTAACAGAGATGCTTGAAAAGAGTGAGTTTGCAAATTATGTTTTTATAAAGTTGTATTTCATCAAGTTTCCTTGATGAGTACATTGAAGAGCCATTTATTTCAGTATAATAGAATTTTTGTACTGTTTAGAGTTTATAAGAAATACTTCAGACAGCGAAATGCATTACAATTCCATGTGAAACTTATAGTATGGTGAATCCTACAAGTGAATTTCAGAAGGAGATACTTTTTGCAGTTACATCACTGTCTATGCTTTATTCACACTCATTAAGTGGTTTTGATGCACAGTCTAATGAGCAATGGCAAAACAAGAAAGGCATAATGTCTGCAGGAAGAATCGTATTTTGGATTAAAATGCCTAGATTGTATTCAGTTTATACAAGATGCACACAAAAACCCACTCAGTCTTGAAAAACTGCTTTGCTTTCCCTCAGCCATAAAGAGGAGTGGCAAACATAGTAATTTCTATAATAACGGTCATGTGCAAAGTTGCAGTTAGTTGCACTGTTCTTCACACTGAAATTGGAGGTAGGGATTGATGCTTGGCTGAACATGAGGCAGCAATGTGCCCAGGAAGCCAAGAAGGCCAATGGCATCCTGGCTTGCATCAGACACTGTGGTGCCAGCAGGAGCAGGGAGGTAATTGTCCCCATTCCCCATACTCAGCAGTGGTGAGGCTGCACCTTGAGCATTGTGTTCAGTTTTGGGCCCCTCTCTGCAAGAAAGATGTTAAGGCCATGGAGCACGTCCAGAGAAGGGCAGCAAAGCTGTTGAGGAGTCTGAAACACAGGTCTTACGAGGAGTGGCTGAGGAAGATGATACTGTTCAGTCTGGAGAAGAGGCTCAGGGGAGACCTCATTGCTCTCTATAACTACCTGAAGGGAGGTTGTGATGAGCTGGGAGTCGGCCTCTTCTCTTGTATAAGAGTGATAGGACCAGAGGGAATGGAATCAAGCTGTGCCAGGGGAGGTTCAGGCTGGACGTTAGGAAATAGTACTTCTCTGAAAGAGTGGTCAGGTGCTGGAATGGGCTGCACAGGTGGTGGAGTCACCGACCCTGGGGGTGTTCAAGGAACATCTAGATGTTGTGTTGAGAGACGTGGTTTAGTGAGAGCTATTGGTGATAAGTGGATGGTTGGACTGTGTGATCCTGTGGGTCTTTTCCAACCTTGGTGTTTCTGTGATTCAATGAAAATGTTGCTTGGAGTGCTTCCGTCTTTACGGAAGTTACTAGTGTTCTGGGCAAGAGAAGCCACAGGGCTGCCCTTCTTGGTACTGTTGTGCTTCTGGTGAGAAGGAAAGACTTGATGTGCGCATTGCAGCCTGCCAGTGACTGGGATCCGTCCCTGTGTCCTTATGCCTCGACTTAAGAGGGAAGCCTAAGGGTTGCTCACTCACAAGAATCTTTTAGGTGGGCCGAATGTTGTCCTTTTCTATTGCTGCTTTGTTTTTTGTTTGTTTGTTTTGGTGGGGGTCACAAAGTATCCTGGCAGCTCTATACATTAGGAAAAGTGGGATATAAAAATAGTTTTATCTCCTCCCAGCCCCTTTTACTTTGTTGCTTAATTTTAGCTGTAGGAATCGCTCTGAGATTAGGACCCTCAGAGCAATGTTCTGAACATAGTGAATGCCACAGATGTCCTTGAGTCAAAGGAACTGAGCAGCAGTGCACTGCAGTCAGCTTTGCTCTTCTGACTCAGATCCAATATCCTGCAGCCACTGCCTGCGCTGTACCCATCAACACGAGTCTCTGTTGTGTTCAGGAATTACTCCAGGTTGAGAAGCTATGATGAAGGAGCTCCATCCCAGTCCTCAGGGAACACTGACAGGTTCCTAATTTGTGTGATACTCGAACCTTACCCCTCTCGCTCTCAAATCCTGGCCACCACTAAGAAGCTAGCTCTGCAGCTGCAGGAACCAGCAGCTTGAAGAAGCAAGACCCTTAGTCTGCTGAATATTGGGACTGGCATGGAGCAGCTCTGTACCAGTGTAGAACATCTCAGGGGAGGATCATCACAACTGGAGTACTCAGTGAGTTTCCCAGGAGCACTGTGCATGTAGGCTTCCCCACTTGCCCTGACTGCACCCTGACAATCAATCTCCTTTGAGTCACCATGTCTCATGGCTTCGGGCATCTTACTGTAGAATCCTTGGAGCTGGAAGGGACCTTTAATAGTCATATAGTTCAACTCTCCTGCAATGAATAGAGACATCCACAGCTCAGTCAGATTGCCCAGGGCATGATCCAGCCTCGCCTCAGGAATCTCCAGGGACAGTGTGTCCACCACTTCTCTATGCAACCTGTTCCATTGCCTCACCACCCTCACTGTAAAAGGCTTTTTCCCTATATCTAAGCTAATTTTTCTGTTTCTCTTCTGTTTCTGTTTGAAACCATTTCCCCTTGTTCTATCACAACAGAACCTTCAAATGTCTGTCCCCTTCTTTCCTGTAGGTCCCCTTTAGATACTGACAGGCTATCATCAGCTTGCCTCTCGGCCTTCTCTTCTCCAGGCTGAAGAGCCTGAACTCTCAGCCTGTCCTCACAGGAGAAGTGTTCCATTCCTTGGTTCACATTTGTGGCCTTCTCTGGACACACTTCAGTAGGTCTGTGTCTCTCCTGTACTGAGGACTGCTGAGGCTGCACTCCACCCCACTGTTAACATCACTGATGAAGATATTAAAGAGCATTGGCCCGATCACCGACTCCCAAGGGACACAACTTGTCACTGATGTCCCTCCAAACATTGAGCCATTGACCATCACTCTCTGGACTTGATTCTACAGCCAGTTCTTCATCCATTGAACAGTACACCCATTGAATCCGTATCTTTCCAATTTGGAGAGAAGGATGTTGTTAGCTACTGTGTCAAAAGCCTTCCTGAAGTCCATATAGATTATATCAGTGGTTCTTCCCTTATCTGCTGGTGCAGCGATCGTAAAAGGCCATAGGTTGGTCAAGCAGGCTGAGGGAGCTGGGATTGTTCAGTGTGGAGAAGAGGAGGCTCAGGGGAGACCTCACTGCACTCTGCAACCTCCTCAAGCGAGGCTGTGGTGAAGAGGGATTTGGCCTCTTCTCCCAGGCAACGAGCAGCACGGGGTAATGGCTGCAAGTTGTACCAGAGGAGGTTTAGATTAGACATAAGGAAGAACTTTTTCTCTCAGTGGTCAGGCGCTGCAATGGCTGCCCAGGGAGGTGGTGGAGTCGCCGTCCCTGCAGTGTTCAAGAGGCGTCTGGACGACGTGCTGCGTGATGTGGTTCAGTGCTGGTGGTGGCAATGGGGATGAGGAGATGGTTGGACTGGATGATCTTGTAGGTCGTTTCCAACCTTGTGATTCTATGATTTGCCCTTGGTGAAACCATGCTGGTTCTCCCGTATCAGCTCCATACCTTCTGTGTGCTTTAGCATAGCTTCTATGAGGATCAACTCCATGATCTTTCCAGGCAAAAAGGTGAGACAGGTTGGCAGTTTCCTGGATCATCCTTTTTACATGTATAATAAATGGTTGTGATGTCTCTTTTCTGCTCAACAGGGACTCCACCTGATTGCCGTGATTTTTCAGTTATCATTGAGAGTGGTTTGGTGACTATGTCAGCTAAATCTTTCAGGACTCTGTGTTGCATGTTGTAGAGACCCACAAACTTCCAGATGTTCAGGTTCCTCAGGAGGTCCTGAAGCTGATCTTTGCTTACAGTGCACGTGTGGGGGAGTATTGCATTCCCAACCCCTTTCTAGCAAACCAAACATTTGAGGACTATGTGATGAGCAGTTAACAGAAAAGACAGAGGTGAAGAAGGTGCTGAGTCCCTCAGACTCTATGTCTGTTGTTAGCAGCTAGAGCACTGCCAGTAAGCAGAAATGTGCACAGGACACAGCCACGTTGCTCTGAGAAAGGAGCATTACAGTGCATGCCTGCAGAAGAGGCACCACCTCCAGGGCTCACAAGTGGGAAACGTACTGTTTGGAGACAGAATGAATTGAGGCCAGCAGCAGTTAGCACAAAGAGCTCCTGGCCTTGGGTCTCAGCTGCTCTGACTCATCAGAAAATATTCCCCAGATTTACAGGTTTTCCTCTCGGTAAGTTGGTACTCTGTTCTGCTTACTTAGTGTGCATCCTGAGAAGGGCGGTTGAAGAAGAGACAAGAGCTCTTTTAAAGCTCTTACAAGCATTTTTAAAACAAACAGAAGGGCAGAAAAGAAAACCCACACCA